GCTGTAAACTTACCTTGCAAACTATCATGAACATGGTGAAAAAGAAGATGAGGTTGGCTTCAGAGATAGGGAGCCAGTGAGTTTGTTGCAGAGTGAAGAGGACTGTGCCATACAGACTAGCCTTTGTAGGGCTAGAAGAGAAATAAAGAAGTTTTCTAGGAGGTTTGCATCGTTTACATCCAGTCCTGAATGGTTCTTTAAATTCCATTTTTGGTCTGACAGAGAATTTACAGGCTACCTACTTACAAGGACATACGAAGAATTTCGTTTGTTTCTGGCTTCCAGACCCCACACAGCAGTTGCTCAAAGTTAGACATCAAGGCAACACCAGAACCTGTGAAACAGTAAAAGTGAACAGCTAGAACTGCCACACCAGCAGAGAGCAGAGAGCTGTCTTTTCCAGATCCCCAAGGGATAAGGATAACCTAAGGGGAACAAAAGGTTCATGACATTCTTCCCAAATTTAAAAGAAGTTAGCCTAAAACAACAGAGCAGGGCAAATGCTTTCTAGACTTTCTATAAAGTGTTTCCTGATGCAGGGAAAGGGCATTTGCCTCTGTTCCATTTAGTGATACTCAAATGCTTGCTCCAAACAAAAGCTAAAGGAAAACTGACTGGGCTGTTTCAACACTGATAGAACCCCCCTGAAAAGATAGGGGTGAGGCCAGAGACTGTAGAACACAGGAGAAAGAATGAAGAATTCCTGAATTCTACACCCATATTTCATAATGACTCCAGTTCTTTACGCCTCCATTAAAGTTAGATGATGACTCAACTGACAACCATTCCGCAAGTATGACTGAATACCTGTGTTCTAGGGAACTTGATTGATTGAAGCCAGCTGACCACATCCACTGACCAGCCTGCTGGTCAGCACCGGCTGATGCGGTCACCTTAAGCTTCATTCACAGATTCTCCCGTCCCTCCCCACAGGGCTGGGTGCCTCCCTGCTGCGTTAGGAGTATCTCACGTTTCACCTTTGACCCATCCAGTAGCCATCATAATGAACCACCCATGGTGGTAACGGTGATGAGCGTGGTGGACCCCAGCTGCAATTTTGCGAACTCTGACCACCTCCTTCATTGCCACAAAGATGAGCTTCAGAGGCAGAAAGCTAACGCACTTGTAGAAGAGGTTCATGGGACAGAAGAATATCAAATACCTGGAACAAAACCACAAAGAGTTTAGGGACCCATTTGTTTGTCCTGATCTGGGACGTACAGAGAGGATTAAGAGTACTGTGGTGTTCGCCTGAATTACGTCAGGGAGAAGGAAATACTGGTTCAAGCACATACAACCCATACGCACCAAGGACATTGAACTTGGAGTAACTGTGGTTAATTTGTGCCCATTTCACTTACACAATGAATAAAATGCCCCCAAATCTTCAGTGTGTGCCACTCCTCTACTATATGTGGTATCAGCGCAGCGCATGCTGCTGTTGCGGTTTGGCCACAGTTCAGCTGCGGCAGCTATGAATAGAAATGCCCGGCGATTGGACTGGACCCAACCCATATAATCAAAGCATTAGACAACTGGTCAGAGAAACTGGAAACTAGATCTAGGAATACAAAGGACTCAAAGACTACCTCGCCCCACCTTTTCTTTCCCCAGTTAATCCACACAAGATAATACACGTGTGTCACACAAACAGAATACCTCCCTTCACACCAGATGGTTTTGTACACAGCCAGCGGTGTCTCATGCTTAATAAATCGGGTGAAGTGCAGAAGACTCACCAGACTGCTGTGGCCAGGATGACACTGGAGTTATTACTGAAGTAATCAATAGGTGATTCTCCAAGTAACAGATCAGCAAGTATGTAACTTCCGAAGCAGTGGAGCATAGCACAAAGCCAGGAGGCAAAAGGGCTCCTACGAGACATCTCCACGGCTCCTGTGAAGCAAATTCTAAATGAGAAGATGGATTCAGCAAATAAGCAGAAATTTCAAGACCCTCTAAGAAAGAGGCTTGCGGTGCATGTTCTCCAACAAAATAAGTCAAAGAAAAGTGCTTGCAAAACAAAATACAAAAACGTGTCTTCTGTGAAGCCTGAACACGTGCCAGATATTGTCAAGAAATGGTGTGTGTGATCATAGCTTGCAGCCCCCCCGTAAGGTTTCAAATGAACTGAGTCATTAGAAGTTTACGAATTAGCTAAGAGTTTCTCTCCTGTATTTGCTGCTACTTACTGCAATCAGAAAGAACAATTTTCCCCTTGAAATCAATGTCTTTTTACAGTCTAAAAATAAAATGCATACTAGTACCATTCTCTCCATTGCTTCAACCTAGGTGCCCTCTAGAATTCATGAACAATCTGTTCAGCTCTTTCATTCATAAGATAACCTGTAAAAATAGAACAATAATTCTTAATCTTTATTTGAAAGAAGAGGATTTGAGGATTCTTCCCTGCTCCTGTACTAGTTTGGAAATGCCCTTTGAAAATACAACTAGATATTAAAACAGTGTCACTATTTGGTAATACGTTATGGTCTCCTCCCACAACCTTCTATTGCCTTTTTTTTATTCCTCTGGCCATTTTCATCCACCTCTGTACTTCTTCAAGGAAGTCTCTCAAGAACATCAATTCTGTAAGGTTGTTTCATCACCTTAAACTGCTCCAGAGTCCTTTGTGCAGCATTTCAGATACCAAACTCTGTTCAGTAAGCCAGTAACAGGCAGTCAAAAGAGAGAATGCTAAAATGTTACGTCAACGTTACTAACAGTGGCCTACCTTAAATAGCAGTAAGTGAATCAGCATACGCTAAAACTATGACTGCTCACACTCTTCCACCCTCAAAGACGTTTGAACCAGCTGAAAACACAGTGGAAGCGAGACAGCTGCAACAGCCATGATATGAACCTGGTTCTATACGAACCTGAAGTTTAGCTTGAGGCTTAAATTTAGTAACACTTGTTTTGCTGTGGCTCCATGAAGCCACGCTGTCTCCAAGGAGGAAACAGGACATTACTGTCCTGACACCGATCTTCAGCGTAGGAGCTGTGGGATGACGCAATGTAGGAATCTAGTGAAAAGTACACCCCAGCCTTATCCAGTCCAAGTGGATTACTGGGCTTACATATTTTTAAAAGCTATTTTCATAAGGGTTGCCTGTTAACTGTTCCATTCAGGACTTAATGCTGGAAGACAGCCGTAAGTGATCGGGCCTCAAAAACCCAGCACCTCTGTTTACGTGGAGTTTAAATAGAACAGTATGTAGATCGTGCAGCCCAGAGATCTCACAACTGGAGGATTTAAAAATCATACCAAAGTGGGGGGGTGTGTGTTTCTCCTCAGTCATCGGGCAGTTACACTGAAACCGCTCAAAACAAGAGCACGAAGAGTGCACACGCTATCAAAAATACACAGAGAAGATGGCATTCGGAAAAGACCAAGGCACAGTCAGACTGCAACAGCGCAGGAAGCGAAAGCTGAGATGCAGATCCATCGATCTTTACAAGATAAGCCCAGGGGAACAAACAAAACAAGGTCAGTTAGGGTGCCTGAGAACAGATTACAGCATGGTCTGGAAGGTGGGAAAAACCCAGGGTTTTACTTACAGCCTTTTTGTATATAAATAGGAGGAGAGTATTGCCACAAAAATAGAAAAGCCAAGCAACTGGACAGAAACGTAACACTAAGTCCTGGGACAGCAGCAAAGAAGTGACTGAACTGAAATACTTCCATGTGGTTGGAATCCAATCTTAAATAAAATGCAAGATTAATTTTCAAAATCGGAGGGACTAGTTCTTGGGTTTTTTTCTGCTTTATATTTAGACACGTGTCAGAACCTCTGAAAAAAAGCAGTGCAGCAAGGCTCTGAGCCCTGAGTCCTATCACACACGGCACCGCGGCTGCTTACAGCGACAGCCGAGCGGTACGCACCAGGC